GCCAAGCCAACATTAAGATGTCTTAATGGCAATATTAAGGCAATATTTTCCCATTATGTAACAAATACAAAGTTAGAGCACTCAGAGCAGGATACTATTTTAACCAGCTTTACTTTCTCACATACGTGGAGGATGGTTACTAGGCAACTGAAGTATAAAGTATCTTTCATTAAATTTGTGGCATAAACTTACGCATTTCTTCTATAACTTGTGGGTCACATTCTTTGTATTTTTCTACTTCTGTCTTTAGCTGTTCCCTTTGGTTCTGAAGTGAAGAAAGTTCTTTTGCTAGCATAGCTCGCTCCTCCTGCATTCAAGATAGTTTTGTATACAATTATGACAAACAAGCCCATACGTTATAAGGGATTACATTTTATAAACACTTTCTTATAACTGATATAGCTTTTGACATTATTAAATATATACTCGACATATTCACAGTATAAGAACAAGCGAAATTCTCGTAATTTTTTTAAATCAAGCATCTTTTATATATTTTCAATAAGCAAATGGGAATTATTACGTCGAATGAGAATGTAATGCTCATAAATAAATGAAAGGTCTCTGTTATGCTTGGATGAACTCTAAGATGACTATGTCATCATATATTAGAGAAAAAAATTATATATACTACTTTTTTGGGTAGTTTCACAACCCAAAAACGTATGCAAAAGGGCAACATCAATCATTATACAATTATCTTTAAAAATGTTCCAATCTGTCAACCTTTTTTTGTTTTTGAGATAGAATCTCACTTTGTTGCCCTTAGTAGAGTGCTGTGGCGTCACAGCTCATGGCAACCTCTAGCTCTTCGGCTTAGGTGATTCTCTTGCCTCAGCCTCCTGAGTAACTGGGACCACAGGCACCTGCCACAATGCCTGGTTATTTTTTTGTTGTAGTTTGGCCGGGGCTGGGTTCGAACCTGCCATCCTTGGTATATAGGGCCAGTGCCTTACTCACTGAGCCACAGGCGCCACCGAATCTGCCAACTTTGAAGGATAATTAATCTTATAAATATTTAAAGATATCAGAAATGGATTGGTGCCCATAGCTCAGTGAGTAGGGCACCGGCCACATAGCATTGAGGCTGGCTGGTTCAAGCCCAGCCTGGGGCTGCTAAACAACAACTGCAACAGCAACAACGACAACAAAATAGCTGAGTGTTGTGGAGGGTACCTGTAGTCCCAGCTACTTGGGAGGCTGAGGGAAGAGAATTGCTTAAGCCCAAGAGTTTGAAGTTGCTGTGAGCTGTGATGCCATGGCACTATACCGAGGGTAATAAAGTGAGACTTTGTCTCAAAAAATAAAAATAAAAAAAAGATAAAAAGTAAAGATATCAGAAGTAAAACAATTTGTACCTTGAGGTCTCTTACCACTTTCCTTTAAAGGTCAACCAGAATAAAGCTTTTATTTATTCATTTTTTTTTTTTTTTTAGAGACAGAGTCTCACTTTGTCACGCTTGGTAGAGTGGTATGACACCACAACTCACAGCAACCTTAGATGATTCTCTTGCCTCAGACTCCTGAGTAGCTGGAACTATAGGTGCCTGCCATAACACCTGGCTATCTTTTTGTTACAGTGTGGCCAGGGCCAGGTTTGAACCCGCCACCCTCAGTATATGGGGCTGGCGCCCTACTCACTGAGCCACAGGCGCCACCCTAAAGCTTTTATTTATTTGGAGACAAAGTCTCACTTTGTTGCCCCAGGCTAGAGTGCCATGGCATCAGCCTAGCTCACAGCAATCTCAAATTCCGGGGCTCAAGTGATCCCCCTGTTGCAACACCCAGCTAATTTTCCTATTTTTCGTAGAGACTGGGTCTTGTTCTTGCTCAGGCTGGTCTCGAACTGCTAAGCTCAAAGGATTCCTCCCCACATGGGCCTCTTGGAATGCTAGGATTATAGGCATGAGCCACCATGCCTGGTAGAACAAAGCTTTTAAATACAATATGAGCCAATAAACACTATTTGAAATTTCTAGCTGTAGTTCTCATGAGCAGGTAGAGTCATAGTGCTACAGGTATTCAACTCATATTTGTAAAAAAGGAAAAATAAGTTCAAACAAAAATCAAGTGCTGGCCAAGACATGGTATAGAATTAAAGGATAAATCTGAGGCAAAATCAAGTTAAAGCTGTCTAAACAGGTCTGGTATAAGGTTTCTTGCTACCTTGTATTTTTGTGTTTGTATTTGTTAGATTATGCCTTTCACTGTTCCCTTTTGTTTAAAGCAAAGAGAGCCCCTTCGCTGGTCTGGGTTGAAGAGAAGGCACATACCAAGCAGTGGGTGCTCAGGCAGCTCTGTCCCACAAAGCCCTGTGAGGACAGAAAACTCTAGATCCACACTCTCCAATGCAAGAGCCACAGGCCACGTGTGGCTGTAGAGTACATGAAACGTAGCTATTGTGACTGAGAAATAGAACTTAAATGTAGTTAATTTTTATTTAAATGTAAATAGCTAGGGGAAAAGAGTAGCTGCATATCGTTAGTGTACATCTTGTTAGCTCAGTTCAGGAGAAATTTAAAAATAACTAGACATAACAAGATCATCATTATTTGCCCTTCACATCCAAATTATACATGCTTCAAAAGGAAAAGTGAAGCTGAGTGTGGTGGTGTGTGCCTGCAGATGCAGCTACTTGGGAAGCTGAGGCAGGAGAAGCACTTGAGCCCAGGAGTTTAAGGCCAGTCTAGGAAATCAAAAGGAGAAGAAACCAATGAAGACAGGAGAAGGAGAATGGTGAACATCTGTGTGACTATAATGGTAGCTCTCTAGATACTGTGAATTGATGCTATCTTACATAGTTACTAGCACTGCCATCTTTGTCAAATTATATAACCCCTTTGTTATATGTTCCCCTTTGTGCCTCTAGTTCCTCAAATATAAAATGGAGATAGTAGCTACCTTCTCGGTTTCTGGTAGGATTCAGTGAATATATATGTAAAATGTATTTATAACAGTACTTGCCTGATTTAAAGCAACTAAAATATGTTAACTATTTCTTCTTCATTATCATCAGCAGCAACAGCACCACCATCATTAAAAATAACATTTGGTCAATAAAGGCTAGGTATTTCTGCAAAGTCTTGGCTCATAAGTTTAAGATGAGCTCAACTTTATCTTTTTCAGGAGCCTTTATGAACTACTATACTCTTCTGGTATCTGTGGGAACCAACGAGGTTTGCTGGTAGTTCCCCACCCCCACCCCCAGCTGCATTGGTTCCAGTGAACTGAGTAACAGTCAGTAGACTGGCTGATAACTTTTGGGCATGCATGTGCGACCATCAGTTGAAGGTGCTTCTGTAAGTTCTTGCCAGTGTTAAAGAAAAGAGAGGAACAAATAAAGAAGTGGTAATTGCCACTGTCAATCGAAGAAGAAATTTAACAGCTTGATGTTATGACCAGAATTGACCTTTCCTTGAATATTCTTTAGAAATTGCCATTCTCCAATTCCTATCTGTGACTGTGCTGATTACTCACATGAAAAAACATATAGAGGGTGCCAAAAAAGAAAGGAAAAACTATAATAAAATTGTAATACTCAATATATACCAGTAACAAAAGATGAATACAAGTCACACTGGACTTCTGCAATTATAAGAGGTGCTCAAAGTAGTTATTATCAGCACTCAGACACTTCTGATTATGGTGAACTACTGCTTAAGCAATGCTGCGAGGCCTCCCAAATCTTCCCTTGTGCACATCACACATGGTACCATGAGTCTCAAACTTACCACGAATGCATGCAGTTGTTGGGCATGTCAGAGGCTTTACTGTCATTGTACTTCCAGTGTTCTCAAATTTCAAATACCACTTCAAAATGGTCATGCGTTCCTCAACCAACAATAGTGCTTCTGTCCTTTTTTTGACTGTCCTGCCTGTCACATGGTGATGCTAGCATTCATTTAATTAACACTACCTTTTGAGCAAAAAAGCCATGCTATACATTGCTACCATAATTCAATTCAACTTTGAAATGCAATAATAGATAACATCTCTTAAATTGTGTATACATCTTTTTGGCACTGTAAACCTGTGATGTATTCCTTTCTACAATGCAACAAGTTTTCCAGGCACTTTCCTTCACAATCAAGTGATTCAAATAGAGACAAAGATGGAATGCTTAGGCTTAGTGCCTGTGGCTCAAGCGGCTAAGGCGCCAGCCACATACACCTGAGCTGGTGGGTTCGAATCCAGCCTGGGCCCGCCAAACAACGATGATGGCTGCAACAAAAAAATCAGCAGGCGCTGTGGCGGGTGCCTGTAGTCCCAGCTACTTGGGAGGCAGAGGTAGGAGACTCGCTTTGAGCTGTGATGCCACAGCACTCTGCCCAGGGCAACAGCTTGAGGCTCTGTCTCAAAAAAAAAAAGATGGAATGCTTAGTAGATCATGTTGATTGTTAATATTTTTGAAAGTCATAAATCCATGGTTGAGATAATGATCAAACTAGAAACTGAAGTGATTTTTTTCAAATGTCTAACTTTAATGCGTTGGAAACATTACACCTTTTCAAAATAAAATAGTGGGTCAATATTTATTTAAATAACTTTTTAAAACTATAAGGCTACAATGCTTTTTTTTGTTGATAGTTTTCAGTTTGTTCTGTGCCAAACTTTTTTTTAAAAGACTCAAAAATTTACGTAAAAATGTATATAGGATTTGCCATGTACAGGTCTTCTTCTAAGTGCTTTGCAAATATTAACTAGTTTAATCCACACAGTAAATTTTAATATTCCCCGTTTTACAAATGAAAAAACTGAAAACAGAATTTAGGAGACTTTCTGACCCAGGCAGTCTGGCTCCAGGGTTTATGCTTTTATGCTACTGCTGCAATATGCAATAATAATAAAAACAACAACAATAAATCTAGCTTCAGTTAGTGGTCCCTACCAGGTCAAATGTTCATGTTCTTTGCTGTGATCCTCTTTTCATCTGGTAGGAATGGCGTCCTCCTATAGAAAGCTCTGTGTCCTTACTCCTCTATTTAGAATTGCCATTGTTAAAGAACCTACAGATACAAACTTACCGTCTCATGTCGACCAATTTTAGCTTTTTCAATGCTTTTCTGTAGATTTGCATGCTTTTGGCTTCCCTCAGACAACTAGAGAATGAAAAACAAATAAAATGGCTTGTTAAGATAAACTGTCTTGACATGTAGTTTATAAAGACAAAATGAAACTTGTCTTTGCTAAAGGTCAACGTCACAAAAAAGTCAAAGATGACACTGGGAACAAATTTCTCTGATTTGAAGAAAAGAAGAAAAACCAATGACCATAAATCATTAGAAAGACTGAAAAAACAAAGTTTAAAAAAAATATGTATATACTTTTTGAGACAGAGTCTTGTTCTGTCACCCTGGGTAGAGTGCTGTGGCATCATCGCAGCTCACAGCAACCTCAAACTCTTAGGCTCAAGAGATCCTCCTTGCCGTTGCCTCAGCATCTTGAGTAGCTAGGACTACAAGTGTCTACAACAGTGCTTAGCTAATTTTTCTATTTTTAGTAAAAATGGGATCTTACTTTCACTCAGGCTGGTCTTGAATTCCTGAGCTCAAGCAATCTGACCACCTTGGCCTCCCAGAGTGCAGGGATTACAGGTGTGAGCCACTGTACCTAGCCCTAAAAATATTTTCTTCTTATTGCATGCAGAAAAATGAATATCATGCCTTCAACCTTTTCTACATAATCTTCATTTATGAGGCTCCCCACATTTACCCCAAATAGTTTGAAATCTATTATTTAGTTAGAAATTGAATTGGAAAATTAAAAAAAAATTTGTTTTATGTAAGTTCTCTTGTCCAATTTCATTTCACTTCTGACTAAAATATTTTCAAAATACCTTAGACTATTTCTTGTAGACTTGTAGTATTTGTGACATGTTTACTGTCAACAATGAATGTATTACTTTTCATTCTGAAATACTTTATGAGGAATTGTGTACTTTGTATATTACGTTCTTAGAGAAGAGAAAAAGTCTATTGCCTGTTGCTTATTTTAGGTATGTTTTAAACATTTTAAAAGTGATCAGTTTAAGCATTTATTCATCTTACAAAGTAGGTAAGTTTTATGTGGAAATGGATTACATAATACCAGCATAGAGAGACTGGAGATATGGAATATTCATTAGCATGTGGCTAGGCCCACACAAGAAAAAGCTGTTTAATTTCAGAGCACTGCTCTCTATCTCAATTTTATTAACCTCATCTGGGTCCATGACTAAATAAATAATCACAAGAAATTCCCAATACTCAATTCTCCACCACATCTTGTGCTATAAACTAGTGAGAAATTTTGGACTTACTTGATATGGGCCTTCTTAAAATATATCCCATTTCTCCCTTACGCGAGTTATAAACATTTAGAAAATCATTAATAATTAGATGAATTTTTGTTGGCTGATTATTAAAAAAACTGTTCACAGATGATCTAGTTACATGTAGAGTGAATAATATTTAGATATCCTTTTTTGCTTAAAATTCAGAAATACTATCTTCAGAAATTTGGCAACTCTACCCTGGCTTTAGGAAATCTTTTACTTCTCAATGTGCATAATGGGAGCATTATAAGCTTTCCTTTAACAGTTCTCTAGTCACCAATTCTCATCCACAGCACGAACAAGATCTGTTCGTCATTTCAAACAGACATCACTACAACCCAGGAATACTACCTCTTAAGAGTAATTATCTTCCTAAGTTAAAAAAAAAATAAGCTGTAGTTTAAGAGCCAAAGCAAACGTTAAGACCCTACATTTAGCAAGAAGATATAGTCCTTCATAATGACTCCCACTTACAAAATAAAAGCATGTTTAAAAAGTTAATATTCTACCCTGAAGGCCCCACCTGAAATAATTTTAAAATATATATAACATTTACATTCAGAAGTAGAGGATTTTCCAATTAAAACACATATACATATATTAGCATTAACATTTTTTCCAAGGAAAATGTCTTAAAAATAACCAAATAGGTATTACAGAGGGTGCCAAAAAATGTATACACATTTTAAGGAAGGAGAAACCTGCATTAAGTGTATAATGCTCAAATCCTATTTGATTTCTGCAATTATAAGAGGTGCCCAACAACTTGTATTCATTTGTCAGTATATTTTGAGTAATACAATTTTTTTTTTTTGAGACAGCCTCAAGCTGTCCCCCTGGGTAGAGTACTGTGGCATCACAGCTCACAGCA